GAGGACGATGGTCTTCCCACACATATTGTCCGCTCCTATTTCCAGGAAGTTAAAAGAATAAGCATTATCGTAAAAAAGAGTGGAATCTAAAAAGCTGAAGATAACTGATGGTTAAGGGGAATAATAATCATTAGAATGGTCAAGTAGTTGATATGACTTCTAAAAAAAGAGAAAAGCATAAAACATTTTCAGTGATGATAATCCCAATAGTGGCGGTTTTAGAATTTTTAAATCATGGGTGCTTAACTATTTTTCATCTCAAAATTGCTACTAAGACTGGGTGCTCAGTTAATATATTTGTATAAATTTTCTAGTTTTTATAATAAATAATAGTGTTTGGTTCTGTAAGTAATCACCCATAACTTATAATGTAGATCTGCCTATGATCCCAAGATGTCTTATAAATCAAAACAGTAACATAGTGCACCATATGTATTGCCTAACTTCATGATATTTGTAAATTTTTCTGTTCAGTCAAATCAATTAAACTCGAACTGAAAAATCGTTCATGACATGGAACATATCATTCCTCAAATGTCAGAAGAACTTATCAGTGAGACAGCTCTCATTTATCTGCCCCAACCTTAGATGAAACAGAACAACATATACTTCCGTAACCTTTGATCCAGTTAGGTTCTCATAGGTGTCACATGAATACCCATTAAGCATATTTCACGAAATTCAACCTCTTGTACATCCAGTTACTCTTAAATGTTTCAAACAATAGACAGCAACTTCTACCAAAGAAAGATACCACAAAGTACTAAGGAGCAGTGACCTACCTACTCATTCTGCAAAGAAATGGCAGGTCTAGAACGGTTCCACTGTGGCAAGCATCTATTATTGCATGAAGCTTTACACCATGAGGAAGAGGCTTGACAATTGTCGCATTGATTTCATCATCAACAATCATACCCTGAGTTTCGAAGTCCAGGGGACATAAAGTTTCATCATATCCATCCACTTCATCTCCATTGTAATTCCTTTGCCTTGAGCCATGACCAGAATAATGAAATAGCAGTGAGTCTCCCGGTTGGCAACCTTGTACAAGCCAATATAATGCCATGCGCATGTTCTGTTTAGTCGGAGTTCTGTATGGGTCGGTCTCCTCTTCTGCATCATGAATTTAGACAAGCTAAGGTACAATGGATGAACTATGATAAATAATTGTTTCAGCCAATAGAAGCATGTCGACCTAAAATCATAATACTATTCATCCCAGAAAATTTGTTAGGTACAAAGGAAAATGTAATGCCTTAGAATGTTTCTAGTTATTAAAAAACTCTAGAGATTCCAAGACTAAACTAACAAAGAAAAAACAATGATAAAAAGCTATTAATATGACTCCTGGTCCACCAATACCCTTAATGTCAGATGTTAGATTTTGAAGACAACATCCGCCACCCCTACCTAGGAGCCCAATAGTGGCTTTTCCTCAGTTGCTCCCTTGGTGACTTTAACCGCCCTGATCGTTGATGGTGGATGACCCTTACCACACTAGGCTATCCCTTGAGCACCAAAATGCTATTGACAATCATTCCTACGCTTAAAAGGGACTCTTTGGGAAGGTAATTTACGCATTTCATATTGTTTGGCAACCATACGTATATAGGGAAAAAGGGGTTTTGTGTATAGATTTGCCCAAAAAAAAAGAAAACTTAACCACAATCTTACTTGTCTGCAATCTGATATCTTCCGGGAGGTGTAGATCACTCAATCAAAGTTCCGCTTGACACCATGTGAAGTTTTTGTTTTTGATAAAGTTGCTATCATATAAGCTTATGTAGTGTTATTTACATTGGCAGCTTGATTAATATTTATTTTTAATCTCTCTTCCCTAAACTTACTAGAAAATCATTCAGCTCATTATGGCCGCCACCTTGCCTACAGAAAGGAAGGAATTCCTAGCATATATGCCTCCCAAACCCTAAACTGCAGATCATACATTACCCGTTCCACAAGCTTAAATCATTTTTCCCAAAAAAAAAAAATTACACATTAAATACTCGATAAAACACGATTTCTTGGTACATTAATCTCACAACAATCACAGCCTATTAAGATAACACTCTTTCACTACAATTCTGAACAAAGTAACTACCAGTTTCAATTTTCCTAGGATACAACTACCAACTCAGCTGTAAAAACAATCTGAACAGTCCCTTTTTGCTGAAGGTCCTAGAAAAAAAAAACATAAATATTAAGGTCGAGCAGAATTAGATACTCTTACCCCAATTTTTCCTTTCATTATATATCCAAGAAGTTATATCAATTAACTGTGTCTCAATCCCAAGCTAATTCCCTCAGCTAAATGAACTCCTAATCCTAAGCAACAAAACAATTTTAAAACGAGATCAAAGAAACTATCCTAGTTTATACACAAGGTTAATATATATAATTGCTATGAAATGAGAATTAATCAAGATTGGGTATGTTACCAGTAAGCATAAGAATGGAGGACTCAGGAAAATGGAATTTGTTCATCAAGAGATGTCTCATGCACTTAGCATCATTAAGGCACCCTTTCAGCTCATGCCTAGAGTACCTATACGATATACCAACAATCACAGCTTTCTTTCTACCATGAGCATTGGGTGGGGGACCGGGAGGTGCGTGGTTGTAGGGAGAGGGAGGTGCAGCAGCAGCAGAGGAAGCAGGTGGTGGGTGATTGTATTGATTAGGTGGTGGCGGAGGAGCAGTACGTGGATCAGCCAACTGTGTTACTGCCTGACAAATCGCACAACGAATGGATCGTGCACCTGGTGGTAGCTGTAATGGTGTATGACAATTGGAACAGTTTACTAGCATCATCATGGCTGATCTATGTGCTTATTATTTGACAAATTTAAACAAAGAAAAGAAATTGGGAATTGAAGATTATGGAGAGCAGGGATTTTTGTTTGTAAAGGGTAAAAGAAATTCAGAGAGAATCAATATGGCTGATCAACGTGCAAATAAATTGATAAATTGAAAGAAGAAGATTGGAATTAAGGATTATAGGAATAGGGTTTTGGCAAGGGGAGAAGAAATCGAGAGAATTATAAGGGAAGAAGAACAATTAAGAGAGGAAGAGACGGAGAACAGATGTAAAATTAGGAGTCGGCAAAGAGGAGCTGACGACCAATTGGTTGAAAAAGTGGGTTTAATGTGTTAAGTTAGATTTAAAAAATTCATAATGTCTGCAAAAGCTCTTGACTAGCTTATTTCAATTTTATTGCTGGAATTTTGCAATCTTGACCCGTCAGGTCCGCGTAAAATGTGACAGCAACTTGTCATGTAATCATATGTCAAACGTTCATTCTGTCTTTCAAAAATGACATAAGTATGAATTTTTTTTAATAACTTTAAACACCAAAATAAAGGTAATTTTGCTAGAATTTACCTAAAATTAATTGTACGTTGTTTAACCAAAAAATAGAATTTCAGTCAAAGCTAGAATTTAAAAGAACGCGAGTTACTGATAATCAAAAGAATATATAGAAGAGAATAATTTGGAGTAACCAGAATGTAATCAGGAGAAAAACAAGTGAATCAGATTATATTTCAATTGTGTCTGTGCTTACAAGTGACTAGATACCTCCCTTTTATAGGTATCTTGAAGATATGCGTTTCCTTCAAATCATAATGAGGCTATTATGAATAATTAAAGACATTGAATGCTACGTTACACAATCATTGTAATCAATACAAATTCTCTAACGTGTCCGGTATTTAATGCCTATCGAATTCCGTATATGCGCTCTTTATTATGGTCAGATCCGTTCCTTTTGATAAATGATCTAAATAGGTACGGGCGATGAATCCTTCAAATGTCCTCCCGTGCCTCTTCCTTTGCCTTTGCTCGTTTCTATTGCTGCCCGTGACTCTTGACTAATTATAATTCTTT